TTAATTTTGCACCTGAAAAAGTCAACAAAGTTGCGTAGAAGATTACTGATGTCGCACGTTTATGTAATTTGCCCTTCTACTGGAACGGGGAAAGAACGGTAAGAATGAGAGTGTGACGGGGACAAAACACCGTTTAAATACAGTTAACACTGTCAAATCTGGATGAATGAAATTTTAATGAATGAGCATATAATTATGACCGCTCCTCAGACTGTTTCATTTCTCTCTTATCTGTTAAAAATCTCTTCTTAGTTTTCTTTGTGAACCGTAAAAGCTGCAGTCAGATTTTTTTCAAACATCTGAATCACACCTCCTGCTTTCAGAATTGCTCAGAGTGTCTGAGCAGCCACAGACCCATGCAAACATGACACCTGTAAGGGCGCCTATTTCCCCTTTTCTCAAGCACTGCACCAAAGGTTAGCAGCGTGTTCCTGTTTTTTCACACCTTTTTTTCCTTCTTCGCTCTGCAGCGTCTCTGCAGCTAATGTGGTAACAGATGCAGAGGGAAACGTGAGTATCGACCCAGTCAAACCAGCAGTGCTTTTTTTTCTCAACTTGAGAAAAAAGAAAAAGTTCATTGTTGCAAAATAATTAACATGAGACAAGCTGTGATCATTATGGGTTCCGTGGGTTTTATGCTAGCTCTGTGCACCCCCAACCCCCAGTGTGGTTTTTAAATGAACAGTTTGGTTTAACTACAAATCCACAAGTGCATGGGTGAACTCATCACTAAACTAAGCTTTAACGTTTAAATAATCCAGAATTACCTATTTTCACTCATGCATTTTACTAAAATGTGCCTCCAACATAAAAGGAAATTAGAGTTTGTGTCACAAAAAGAAAAAAAGCATCCCTAAATGTTCAACCGGGCAGCTATGAAACCATTAAAATTTAGCTCGTGAGGAACTGAAAGAACAAAAACTTCCAAAAAAAATCTCAGTATGTTAGTTTTGATTCCTAAAAACTTGTTATGTTTTTATTCATGTCACTAAGGTTGAATGGAAACTAATTGTAGCACTTTTATTTGATGTTTTTGCCCCTTTTTTTAAGGTTTGAACACCACTGCTCAAAGTCTTTCAAGTAATAATAAGTCATTTTTAGGTAATCGAGTTGGTATCATCTCCAGCAACATCACTGTGAGCAGGGGCCCCACAAGGCTGTGTGCTCAGTCCTCTGCTCTTCACCCTACTGACACACAACTGCACACCAACCTGCAGCTCAAATTGCTTTCGTGAAGACAACTCTGGTGGGGCTGATCACCGAGGGCGATGATGCTCACTGCAGAATTCAGTTCGACCTTCTGGCCATGTGGTGCAAGGACTACATCCTCCTGCTGAATGTCAGCAACACCATTGTTGTAAACTTCCAGAGAGGTCACACCAAACACTCAGGTGAGCAGCACCAAATTCTCAGTGGTGCACATCAGTGAGAACCTCTCCTGGACCACCAACACTGCATCACTGGCAAAGAGAGCCCAGCAGCTTCTACTTCCTGCACAAATTCAAACGGGCTCCACCATCCATCATGAACAACTTCTACTGGGGAACTATAAAGAGCATCCTTTCCAGCTGCATCACTGTGTGGGGTGGAAGCTGCACTGACTGCAACAGGAAAGCTCTGCAGCACATTATGATCACAGCTGAGAGGACCATTGGTGCACCACTTCCCTCCCTGAAAGACATATACATTCATCACCCGCCTCTCGTGGAAAGTCATCACGACCATGAGTCATGCTAACCACCTTGCACACAACCTGTTCTGCCTCCTGCCCTCTGGAAGGAGGCATACCTACCTCCGCTCCCAGACCAACACACCAACCAAAAGCTTCATCCACCAGGCTGAGAGACAGCTCACATGCCTTTGCATGCAGGTCTGCTGCTGTCCTTGATGCTCACACGTGTCTGAGACGATAATGTTTTTAACACTAAAACAAAAATAAGATTAAATTTTATGTTGAGACGCAGATAATTGAGAAAATGTGTGCTGATTTCATGCATTTATTGTGCCGCCCTACTTCAGTGTGTATTGTGTATTCAATTACCTGGAACCAGAGGTGTGGACTGGAGTCACATGACTTAGACTCGAGTCAGACTTGAGTCATTTTTTTAATAACTTCTGACTTGACTTGATAAAACCTATAAAGACTTACGACTTGACTCGGACTTGAACGACAATGACTTGAGAATTGAATCGACTTGCATCTGTTGACTTGATGATGACTTGAGCATATTTGATATTTTAGCACGAAAGTGGCACGACGTGGACAAAAATCATGAATCATTCTTCGTTCTGGGTTAGATCTTGTACTGCTAAATGCAGCAGCACTTTGTTTAGAATCTATTTCAGCTGCACTTCCTGCTTGTTTGAGCAAATAAATGAAGCTTTAAGAAGCTTTATTTCTGAAATTTATTTTTTATCATTGTAATTAAAGTGAAGTTGGGCTGATGACGTGATTATTTCTTGAAAATTCAAAGTTAAGGACTTGGGCTTGACTTGGACTTCCGCATTGTTGACTTTGGACTTGACTTGGACTTGGTTGTCTTTGACTTGGACTTGACTGGAAAGACTTGTGACTTGTAAAGCAGTGACTTGGTCACACCTCTGCCTGGAACTGCTGTTTTCTTTGAATAGATTTAGTTTACTGGACTTCCCTGTCACTAACAAAGATGTTATCCACTTTACATCATGCACTGTCAGCATTTTTAAATAAAAACAATGTTTCTTCATTTTTTCAGCATCACCAGAGGATATGCTAGTTTGGTTTATCTGTGAGAGCATCAGCGTACAGATAGAAAACACCCACATTAAAACTGTCCCTGTGAGTGAAAACTATGAGGAAACAAAACTTACAGAATGAAAAAAAGAAAAAAATTACGAGACACACCCAAATGGTGACTTGTGAATCTTTACTTGTTAAAAGACAGAAACCACAACAGACCTTTGGATTTCCGGTGACATTTTGTTCCATAGCACAAAACACATTTATATGAGGTTTTCACAAATTCAGCTGTTTACTGTACAAAACGCTGACGTTTGGTGTCGACATCTGGCTTTGAAGTCCTACACATACACGTGCACACATGCACAAACACGTTCACACACACACATGAACACATGCACAAATACACACACATAAATGTACAAACACACACACACGAACACATGCACAAATACACACACATAAATGTCCAAGCATGCACACATGCATAAGCACACACACACACACACACATGAACACATGCACAAATACACACACATAAATGTCCAAGCATGCACACATGCATAAGCACACACACACACACACACACACACACACATACATGCACAAACACACACATAAAGGGAAGGGCAGGTAACGGAAAAAGAACAATGACACTGAATTATATAATCTTGCAATACGTGTTATGTAATCTTGATGTTATTGTTTATTTCAAAAGGTTTGTCCAAAAATTCATGTATTTGTTAGTGTCCATGACAACCAATAAAGGATCATGTTGTTTTTTATTTTAAAAAATCCTGTGACTGATTTAAATGAGTTTGAAGCGACATTTGCTTAAAAGGAAAAGCTAATCTTTACTGAACATGAGAGAGCATCTAGGAAAATGTCTGCAGTATCTTTTTTTCCATAGCTGTGGCGCTTTGGTGCATGTGTGATTTCCTAAATCACTCAGATTGTTAGACAATTGTCCAGACAATTGCATTATATATTTGTTTTGTGCTCCAAAATGTGTTTTCATTTTACAAAGCCGCCATGTGCTCCAGATCATCAAGATTTTCTAAAGCCACCGCTCCAATCTCCACCCTGCTGCATCTGTTACTGGTTTGTGTGAATTGTTGTCACTCAGCTACAGATAATAGTTTCTTATTGTCTTTTCTGACACCTAAACTCAGCTGAGCGGGTGTGCAAATGATGGCGATGATGCAACATTTAGGAGATTCATGTTGGCCTTGAATAATAAGACTGGTTTCACCCAGCCGTGAGGCTCTAGTACTACAGTGTTCATTAGAACAAGCAGGATGGAACGAAGCACAGATTAGAGGAGGAACTTTTGTGAATGAGTCTTGCTTTAACTTCACTTTTTGAGTCTTCAATTTTAATTCTAAAGCACAAAAGTGCAAAATATTTTAGTCTAGCTTCAGTTGGTGTGTGTGTGTGTGTGTGTGTGGAGCTTATTCATTGTGTGTTTTTACAATAATACTTACAAAGATCTTTATATATATATACAGACTCACTTTTACCCTGTGGAGTAAAGGAATGTGGTTGTGTTTAACACTTTCACGCTTTAACGGCTCCGCTTTCACAGCGTTCACAGAAAGTTACTGTAGCACCATCTGTTGGACAAATGAGCAGAACTGATCGAACTGATTAAAACTCACTTTTTTCTAAACGAATTTAAGCAGTTTTCTGAAGTTCTGCGTTTGTAAAATGAAATTTGATTTAGTTTTGTTCAAAATTGTATTTATGTCAAATTTTTAGGACTTATTATTTTATTTTTATGTTTGTGTTTTATGTTTGGGCTTTTTATTTTATTTTATTCTATTTCATTTTTATTTTTTTTTTTGCTATGTATTGTTAAGGCCTGAAAGATGTGTCAGGGGCCAAATATTATTATATAATTTTTTTTTCACTGCACAAAGAATTAAGGAACTCCATGTTGTAAAGAAATAATTTAAACTAACGTTTTAAATGTATTCTAATTAACTAATTCTCATTCACTATTAAATATAGGAAAGTTAGCAGCAGGAATGAAATCGGTGCTTAGTTTAAAATAACTATAAACTCTAAGCCTCAACTTGTTTGCCTCCATAATGACACTTTGTCATTGAAATTCAAGTCATTAAACTAGAGAATTTTTTATGGTTCGCTTTCTTTAAGTAAGTTTCTTTTGACTTTTTCTAGAAATATAATTTTACATGTTTTCTCTCATATTTCATATTTTTATTTTAATCTGGAAATCGCGTAACAACTTTTGTTTGAAACTCCATAACCGCCAGGGGGCAGTGTGGTAAACACGACTCGTCTTTCTGCCCGTCATAAACACGGAAGTGAACTTTGGGATAAAAAAAAAAGTTTGTGCGCAGGACTAAATGCTTCTTGATTTCTACTTTCTTCCTGATTTTAACTAGATTTTAACTCTTTGAGAACGCGTTGGATACGTTTAGCGTCTCCATTTTTAACTAGAAACCAAAGTAAAGCTGAACTAAGGAGCGCCGCTGAAGCAATGGCCGACATGGATGAAGAAATGTCAGAGAACAACTTCCCTCTCCAGCAGGACCTGACCTGCCCTGTGTGCCAGGGCATTTTTACTGACCCCGTCCTGCTGCCGTGCTCACACAGCTTCTGCCGGGAGTGTCTGCAGAGGAGCTGGCATTTCAGTAAGAGGTGCCCGGTGTGTAGAGAGCCGTGTGAGGAGGCTCAGGCCATCTCTAACCTCGCTCTCAGAAACGCTTCGGAGAGCTTCCTCCGGCAGAACAACCGGCGACCCGCCCAGGCTTTAACCGGTGACTTGGTGTGTAATCTTCACCTGAAGCCTCTGGAGCTTTACTGTGAGAAGGACGAGGAGCCTCTGTGTGTGGAGTGTGTGGCTCTACACAACACGCACAAGCTGTGGCCCACTAAAGAAGGCACAGCCATATGTAAGGTAACGTGACTGAGTGGTAATAACAGCTTTATTATGGAAACACCGTCGTTGCTCAGCAGAGAGGGTGGATAAACTATTAAAATAGTTTCCATGTTTGTTAATCAGCAACAAGAGCTGTGTTTTAGGTGAGGATGAGTCATTTCAGACCATTTAAACTGAATTCTTTCCCACGTGCTGACTGGTTTTGCTGCTGGGGAGTATTTAAAGAGTAAGTCACCCCCTACCAGAATCTTACTCCACTCCCACTTCCTCTTTGAAACAAATGCTGTTGCCTGGCAGACAGAGTGGGCGGAGCTACTAACAAATACACACAACTACAGGCTAACAATGACATTGTGACATCATATGGTACCAGCTGTCGCCATATGATACTTCTTAGCTATTAGCAATAGCAGATTTAAATTTAAATACAGTGCAGAGCTTTTACCTGAAGAGGGCACAACACTGACCATTTTGGATAGAATATTTCAATTTTAACTAAGGTGCACTAAAATGCCAAATTATCTACTTCATGTGTCCACAGCATGATTGGACACTCGTTTATATAGTTTATCAGCAAAAAAAAAGTATATTTGGGGGTGACTTGCTCTTTAACTTAAACTTCCTTTAAAATGTAGGTCAGTAGAGGAGTTAGGGTTATTTATAATCCTACTGATTCTCATTTTCACATAAATATTAAAGGACATTTGGTGCCATTTTGTAATGATGCAGCATCAACATTCATGTACAGAACTGTCAGATCAGAAGTGACATCATCAGTGTGTTTTATTTATATTTATAGTGTGTATGCAGACTTTATGGTAAGTGTGGAGTTCACTCCTCAAACTGTTCATCCTCCAGTCAGTCGACCCAAACCTGACAATCACCTTTAAAGCAGAACTAATGTACATTTCTGTCACCAGATACTCAGCAGATACTCAGCAGAACCATCCAATGTGCTCTATCTACTACAGTATCCAGTGTCATGTGAGCCAAATTCTAACTCAGTTTTAATGTCTTATTATGGACTAAAAACACAAAATTATCTTCTTTGCACTCCCTAGAGTGGACTTCTTATACAAATGGTCAGATCAGGATAATAGTGATCCATAATTTTTCTTTTATATTTATTAAACAGCAAGAAGGCGTCCATCCCTCTTCCCTCTATCTTAATGAATTATATTTTATAATACAATGATGTTCCTCCAATAGTTTCAGCAAAAATCAGAGTATGAAGTTCAGCCTTTCTGCATATTTTACATTTTTGAAACAACGTATTCCTGGATGTCTTAAAGAGCAAGTCACCCTCTACCAGAGTATTACTCAACTCCCACTTCCTGTTTGAAAAATGCAACAAATGTTGTTGCCTAGCAAACCGAGAGGGCGGAGCTGCTAACAAATACACACACACACACACACACAGGCTCACAATGACATTGTGACATCATATGGTACCAGCTAACATTCTAGGGTACCTCTTAGCCAATAGCGATGGCAGATTTGAATTCAAAACAGTGCAGAGTTTTTACCTGACAACGGCACAATCAATCAATCAATCAATCCTTTATTAATCCCAGAGGGAAATTAGAGCTTCAGTACACACAATTCAGAGATCGACATACATGGGCAAGAGACATGACAAGAATTGGTGACTGTGGTCATTCGCAACCCAAGTCGCGCTACTTTAATAGAGATAAGAGGGTAACATGAGGATTGGTTCAGCTGGAGGGAAAAAAAGGCACTCCAGAGTTACCCTCCACTGGGAGGGCAGCTTTGCTCTGCAAAAAAACACCTCAACAGATATGCAACAGACTTCAGACAACACAAAATAACATGAGACTCCAAAGCCCCCTTCAGACAGGCCATGAAAAACAGAAATGTTCCGGACTGTCCGTAAGACCTTTGTGTCTGAATACAAACATCCGGATAACGTTTTCCTTAATTAAACCGGACGAAGCCCCTAGTAACAGGTCCGGACTTGTTACGGACAAGATGGCTGCTTCAGACTGGTGAGGTCGAGTTCCGGACAGGGAGGAGGGGGAGAAGGAGGGGACCGGGGGACGCTGTGCGCACCTAGATAGCTCGTTCCTGTAGCATGTGGCGAACCATGGCAGCTCGCCTCCTACGGTACCGTCTAGACGCGCGACGGAGCGCTTCACACCGCTTCAGTGATTCCTTTAACCATTGAGCTTCATCATCCAGGTCTCTTATGCGTCTACGTGTGCGCAGAATTATGCTTAACATAAGTCCCCCCCTCCCCACCTCAGACATCTGGAACTTTTCCCTGCTGTGTGAAGGCAGCTGAAAGGGCAAGTTCCGGTACAAAAGTGGTGTGTCTGAAAACACAGTTCTGGTTAAAAACCAGATTGAATTGTCCACACATATTCCAGAATGTCTATCTGAAAAGGGTTTAATAGGAGGGGGGGCGAATCCTGTTTCCTCCAGCGAGAGCAGTAGGGCTGTAGCGACGCATCGACGAAGTCGACGGCTCGATTCTAAAAATTTGTCGACGTCAGATACGGAAGTCGACGCACCGCGCCCACTTGTTGCATCCCCAGGAGTTTGTAAATAAGGAGGAATCTGCCTGTTTTTCCTCTAGCTCGCCCTCTTCTCCGCCTTCACTAACATCTCCGCCAAATACCGAAGACCCGGAACAACGTCCGTCCACTACTAGATTATTTTCCTGTTTTGCCCGCCTTCGTCTCCCGGCAACGGACAACAACTTCCGGGGTCAGATGCGCTGCTTCGTCTCTATCGCAGATGTAGAAAATCACCGGGAGCATTTCTCCCTTCATAACGGAGCTTCTTTCAGACATTAGGAGAGCTGTTTTGGTGGTAGCAGTCTCTCCTCCGTGCTGGTCTGTTTGCTGCTGGGTGTTTTTGGTTTATTTAAACTTGGTAACTTGAACTTAACGTTGGTAAAGCTACTGTTAGCATCTTCGCTAACAGCTTCTTGCGTCTGGATAAGCTGTTAAGTTTTGGTTTAGAGTTCATCTTTTTTGTGGTGTAGATCTCCCTTTAATTACATTTAGAGTGTTGTGGGTTTTCGGTTTAGTGTAAAATATCACCTGAGTTTGGTTTAACCCGTAAGACCACTCGCCTCAGGCACATAAGTGACCAAAACAAAGCAGCATGGAGACACTCCATCTTCTACCACCTCTCAGGCAGCAGCCTGCACTCCCAAGTTCTACACGTCACCAGAACATAACCAACCAACACAATAAAAGCAGTGTTATACAAAATGGAAGGCCTGTAGTGTTTGTTCTCTTACAGTAAGAATTTATCAATTTTTTTGAGGAATTTATTTGAGATTTTCTGGTTTTTGTTAATTGTGCAATAGAAAAATAATCATTAGATTAATTTTCTAAATAGTCATTAGAATAGTCGACTATTCGATAAAATAATCGTCAGAATAATCGTTTTAAAAATAATCGTTTACCCCCAGCCCTAGAGAGCAGCCATCTGGCGCTCATCTACTGTACAGTCACAGGTGGGAGGGAGATCTTGGGAGAAGCAAAGAGCACATTGACTCCTACAGCGGATGACCTCGCCAGGCTAAAGTCCACCAATCCGGGGGGGGGGGGTCCGGGTCGGGTTTTCACGGCATCTGTCTGCATTCCTTCGTGGGGGTTTTTAGTTGCTTGCAGCTCAAGGCGTCATATTCGGATAACAAGAATTTGTTTGGGTCAGGCTGAGATAATTTTCCTCTCTGCCTTCAGTCTTTAAACTGATCATTTCCAGTCCTTCAGTGAAGCCAATTTTGGTTTTTTTAACCTGTCCATACCGTCCGGTGACTCTCTCCGAGATGACATCCATTTTGCGCACTAATACTGGTATCGCAGCTAGAACATTGTCCAGCTTACGATTCACCTCGAGTAACGTCCCAGTCTGAGAGTGCTTTATATGGGTGCGGGTCGCCCTCCAATCGCTCCCGTCTTCCCAAATTTCCAGAAAACCAGATATCCTCCCACTCCAATCACGAGAAATCCAGTGATCATCTCACCAAATATCCACACGTCTTTGATGTCCTCAATGGACAGCTGGCTGAGGCATATGATCTTCCATTCCCTCCAGGAATCCAAAATACATCCCGCTCGGTGTGTCCCCTGTGGACATGTGGGAGCCCCCTGCTCCGTTCTCATTGTTGAAAAAATCTTATCGATCGCATTGAATGACCAGTTTATCAAATCCATGGTTAGTAAAAATAGAGTTTTTCAGAAGAAATGCAGAGAAGTGCTCTGTGGGCAGACAGGACAAAGAGCCTTGGGAAAAAAAGATAAGGGAGCGAAAGAGGGAAGCGTCTGTACTCCTCGAGTGTCAACACTGACAGTTTTAGGCAGAATATTTAAATTTTAACTAAAATGCACTAAAGTGCGAAACTATTGACTACACGTGTCTGCAGCACAATTAGACATCCATTTACATAGTTTATCAGAAAAAATAAGTTGATTTGGGGGTGACTTGCTCTTTAAGTGTGCACTACAAGCATCTTTTTCCACTTGTCTAAAGTACCTGCTGTCATTTTGCTGTTGTTTTTGCAGAACGAACTCGGCTACAAGGTCCAGATTTTTGAGAAGAAAGTGGATTCTTACAAGAAAATGGTGAAGAAATTCACCAATGCTGTGGGATATGTCAAGGTACAGTTACTGCCACGCGTTACGTTTGTGTGTGGATAACAGTTCCATTCGGTTACAAAGTGCATTTCTCTTTACATGGTTATTAATATAAAAATACATTTGTTTGTTTTGTTTTAATTCCTCTAGCATCAAGCTGGAGAAGCAGAGAGAACAATCAAGGCCGAATTTGAGCGGCTGCGCCAGGTTCTTTATGCTGAAGAAACGAGGCGTTTAGATGAGCTGGCCACTGAGGAGAGGGACAAGATCAACAATATAGAAGGACTAATTGAGGAAACCAAAGCAGGGATTGTTAAACTGAAAGAGTTTATCGATTGTCTGAAGAAAGAGATGGGCAATGAGGATTTGTCCCTTCTGCAGGTAAGTGACGGCAGCTCACCACACCTGTGTTTGTTTAGCCTTAAAACTTCCATCGAGCTCATTTCATCCACTTTTTTCATGCGTTGCAGAATTTCCATGATCTTAAAAAGAAGTAAGTCATGTGATCAGGAAATATATTTAATGTGGTTGATGATGGATTTACTAAGAATTTGCACGATCGTCAGGGTTAGGCCATATTAGAATAAAATGAAGTGATCGTTTTGTCTTCTGTAGGACCCAGTGGACTGAACGTGATCCTGATTTTCTGTCCGACTCCCTCTTGAACATGGGAAAGCATGTTGGTGGTCTGAGCTACAACATCTGGAAGGACATGAAGGCTCATGTCAAATATTGTAAGTAAATTATAAATGATGATTCCCTTGATCTCCAGACTCCATTTAAGAAAGAAAAAGTGCAAAATGCAAGTTTTTTTCTGTGTTAGTCTAAAAAAAGAATGAACATTTAGCTCATTATTCATAAGATTTAATGTTCAGCCCTACTATGTGTGCAGACCCAGTTTTACTGGACCCTAACTCCGCCTCCCCGTGGCTGTCCTTGACCCCTGACCTCACCAGTGTGAAGGAGAGCTCAGAGCGGATGACTGTCCCTGAAAACCGCGAGCGCTTTGATCCCTGCGTCTTTGTCCTCGGCTCAGACGGTTACGCTAGCGGCAAACACAAGTGGGACATCATCATCGGAGACAACCCCAAGTGGATTCTAGGCGTGTGCAAAGAGTCTGTGATCCGTAAAAAGAAGTTCACGCTCTCATCGAGTCGGGGCGTGTGGGCCATCGGGCTGAGCAAAGGGGTCTACTCCGCCTTCACATCTGAGCGGACAGAGATAGCGGTGCCGCAGTGCCCTGAAAGGATTCGCATCAAACTGAATATAGAAAAGGGGGAGGTGTCGTTTTGGGATGGAGGGAGAGAGAAACACTTGGTCACTCTTACACACAAGTTTGAGGAGAGGTTGTTTCCGATTTTTGGCCCCGGGCTTTATCCCACTCCTATGATCCTGGCTCCTGGAAAAATAGCTCTACACACTTCGTAAAAGGACCAACGTGATACCGAAGTGGGTTTTTGACCTGAAGCTGCATGATTGATGTTCAGGAGGTATGGTTGGCTCAAAAACACGTCACCAAACTGAGGGCTGAACGATTATTTGCATATGCAATTAAATAGCGATGTGACAAAAGGAGACTTTCTAATCGCAAAGGCTGCGATCAGACTGGCAGCGAGTGGTTAGCACAATGCTAATGTATATACACGTAGGGATGCTAACGCTAATATCGCCGAATAGATTCTTACAAATTACGAATTGGGAATGTGCCAAATTATTACATTTGGAGTATAATAAAAAGTAAAAACTGCCATTAATCAAATAAGTACAGACAAATATTTTAGTAAAACTAGAAAACTGTACTTCAACTCCACTGAGTTTTGGCTAGCAGCTGTGAACGCAACTGAACTACGGAAGCTCCGCATGGACAAGACGTCAAAAACTAAACTCAGAAGATTTCAATAAATGGGACACACTTCTTTCCTGCAAATAAATTTTCAAAGTTGATGCTCATACCTATTCTCCTTCAAGGGATGTGCTCCTGGCTGCAAAGCATCGCACCTTCAAATACAAGATGTTGTCTTTACTTGTGAGTGTTCATGTATGTGTAGACATATAAGATATATATAGATACATAAACTTGTTTATATTCAGTACAAGTTACATAGATCTATTTTTTTGCTTCTGTTAGTTGAAAAATGAGAAAGGCCCCTTGAGAAAATAATTGTGAATTAAATCGCAATTAGATTATTTTCCAAAATCGTTCAGCCCTACTCATTAAACAACTCCTAATAGAGCAAAGGTCAGAAATGCAAAACCTGCTTGAAAAAAGTTTTAGAACATGCAGCAAAGGAAGAGAACCTAAGGGAAATTTGTGTTTGCAGCACATGAGAACAGGGTATCCGCAGGTCCTTAAAAAGTCTTAAATTTGCTTTTCCAAATTTAAGGCCTTGAAAATCCTTAAAAATGACAAATAATCCTTAAATCCAGTTTCCAGAGGTCTTAAATTACCAAAGACCCAATAAACAAGATTCTTTTATTTCTATAAAAAAATTTTCGTGAATTTCTGGTTAGTCTTCAGCATTTTTTGTGTATGATGTTGGCGTAAGCGGAACCGTACACGTTCATTTGGTTGTGAAAGGGGGCTGTTTTTAGATGAGCGCATTAGCTGGTTAAGCTAGTGGGAGCTTGCGCCATGGGGAAGTGCAAGTTTAATGGTAACTGGATGGCTAATCCCACATTTGTGACGTGGTTAGCACCGGTTCCAGGCAATAGCTGGAAATTATAGCTTAAATTTTATTTTAAAAATAGCTTAAATTTGGTCAAAGTGGCCTTCAAAAAGGTCTTAAAAAGTCTTAAATTTGGCTCCCATAAACCTGCAGATACCCTGGAGAAGTACAAAATCGGTTCAGAGCGACTGCCGGGTCTGCAGTTTGAATGCGGACCCGGCTTTGCTTCTGTTCCATTACCAGCTGAACTTCAACTCATCAGATACAAACCAAAACTAAACATGTTAGTTTTTTGAGAGGTTAAATGTTCTTGTGATTTGTGAAAATAACAGGAAACAAACACCCAGCTGTTAAATCTGAGCGCTTAAACCGACTGCATGCTTTTGTCGTTGTTGGGGCGTGTTAGATGTGTGCTCACGTAGCTGGGTATTCCACAAAACAGACATTTTCTACGGTTTGGTCCGTCAGCCGTACGAAAGTGAAGATAAACAGCACCAAAAAAATGCTGTTTAAAAAAAACTCCATTGTCAATTTGCTTGTAGATGTAAATGGTGGGTTTTAGGTTTCGTATCGTTAAAGCCCACGACATAAATGCTCTTGCAAGCTCAATCACTGAGCCGTGCAGAAGACCACAGGTGAAGGGTGATGTCCCTGCCCAAGGAATGTGTTTTTGGCAAAGATGCAGGCTAATTAGCGAATGGCTGCTACCTGCAGGCTTGGCATGGACTGTGCTTCACTGGAAATGTAGCTGAGGTGGTGTGGGCCCAAGTTTTTTCTTACATGGGTGGGGGACAACATTCAGTTTTACAAAAGCCGAGCTACGTGTGAACATGGTCAATTGACTAAAGCTACCTTTGGAAAGAAAATGTCTATTGTCTTGACTCTATAATAAATATTAAGGAAGATTTCAGCTTTTATATGCATTTCAGTCTGCAGGATAATGGGCTCGACACACGGGAGGCGACATCGCCTCTCCTCCATTCATTTTCAATGAGACATGCGCGACAAATCGCGGGTCTCCCTCCTACCAAGCGAAACGCGAAAAACGTGCGTGTGAAATTTTGCGCTCGTGCACGTGTCGTGCACAGACGATCCAGCGAAGCAATCCCAGAAAGTAGAAATATTTTCAACTTTTCATCGCTGTCGCTCGGGCGAGGACCAATCAACGGAGGTTTCATTCACTGACCAATGAGCGGACAGGATGCTCCGTACATCTCCGAGCAAACATGGAGGAGAAGTTGATTATTATTATGTTTTATAAAGTAAAATCAGAAGTAAGATTTCACATAACTCTAGCAGCACCTTGTGAAACATCATATTTACCGCTTTATTAACTCTGAACCGCTTAAATAACCTTAATTCCCTCCAACCTGACACAGCCAAACAAAACAACGAAAGTTTCGATTTCGCCATGGAACAGAACGCGTAGACGCGTAGCTTTGCCGCTGACCGCCTCCCGTGTGTCGAGCCCCTTACTCTTGACTTTTTGGGTTATTTTTCTAATTTTGTGATTGTTTGGTAACTTGAGTCTCTGGTTCACGAAGAAGATACCACTGCTTCTTCACATCCTTTTGTTTTTCAATAAAATACTATAAAACTGTTACATTTTTCATCATTTTAAAACCACAAAAACACCCTTTTAAAAACATTTAATGTTTATGAATGTCCATGTGTGTTTGTACAGTGTTTAGAAGTATTAGAGGAAGTATTATTACTAAGGTACTTTTTTAACCTTATAAATCTAGTTCCTCTTTCTCCATCTATTCCAGCGTCTTCTATTAATATTCACAAGAGGACAAAAAGAAAGATGAAGGTTTTTTAAGGCTCCATTATCATAAGGAGGCTAAAATATTCTTTTCTAAAAAGCTAAAAAGAACACAAGTGCAGTAACTGATTTTAGACACTGGAGGGCAGCAACTCTGTCTTCTAAATAGAAACCAGTGTTGTTATTTTTTTGCTAGCAGAGGGTGCAAAATCCCATTTCAAGTCAACAACAGTGTGTAGTGTTCCTACTATGGAACTCTTAATTTTATAAATCCAGTTCCTCCTCCTTTTCCTACTTTATATTATTAATCCCCCAAAAAATGGAAGGTAAATATGTATTCTAAAAGGCTAAAAAAACAAGTATAGTAAAAGACTTTAGAGCCTGGAGGGCAACAACCGTATACATAAATATATAATAGTCAATATATATGTCTGTGGCAGCCAGGGCCAGATTAACACTTTGTTGTAAATAAAGGCCCCATCATCACGACCCAAGGATCACCATAGTATGGTCACATACAGAATATTTTACTGTAATATGCAGTAAATGTACTCAATACTTCAATGCCTGACATCACGTAACCCGCTCAGGGTAACCTTTGACCCACCTCGTGTGCACTGACCAATGAGGAGAGGGTCTTAACTTGAGGCCCTCTCTTCATTGGTCAGTTTGCATGAGACTGACTCTCAACTGACGTTCAGTCATAGGCAGCGAAGCGTCTCTGTGCAGCGCAAAAGCCCGGGTGGACAGTTTGTTTAATACAGGGTGACCATATCCAAAAAAAAAAGGACAGGGGATCTGTGCCTATGACGTCACACTAAGGCAACGCCACACAAACCACGTTGAGATCCTTTTTTTTGTAAGAACTAAATTAATATCAGATTCTGCTAATAAAAGGGCTTTAAAACGATTCATATGTAAATATTTAGCATATTTACTGCAAAATCTCATTTTTCTGCTTTAGTGCTGCAACAAGGTTTTATTAATAATAAATTATTATACCTTTTGTTTTACTACAGCATCGGTAAGCTTCCTGTGCACAGATTATTAAGGATGCTTGTTTCAGCTGTGAGATTAGACGATAGGATCAATGAAAAAATAAGTTGTCACACACTCCATGGAAACTTTCAGAGAATCCACAAATAGTGGCTTTCAAATGGTTTTGTTACTTTTTGCAAGTTTAGAAAAGCAGCAGATGAGACAGCACGTCTGATAATTTAGTTTTTCATCTGATAATATTAGAACATGTCAGTAATGTCTGAGGGGCTTTTTACCAGAGGTGGAAAGAGTACTAAAATGTTGTGCTTAAGTACAAGTATAATTACTTTCATGAAATTTTACTCAATTACAAGTAAAATTACCTGCCTCAAAATGTACTCAAGTAAAAGTAAAACGTAGCTTATTTCAAATGTAGTCAGAGTAAAAGTTACTTAGTTACTTTTTTGACTGTGCAAGGATGGGCTTTTCTGAATAGTTAAAAAAAAAGACAATGGGGTATAAATGTCAAAGTGGCCATTTTTTTATTAAATGAATAAATATGCATATTGAAGTACAAAGGCAGTTACACTGCAAACTAGTAACATAAATTAGGTTATAGTCACAAGCCCATGACTTTTCCTGTAACTGTTACTCGGTAACGGATAAGGTAAAAAATGTAGCGAAGTACAATACTTACAAAAAGCAATACTTAAGTAAAAGTAAAATTACAGATTTTAAAAACTACTTCAAAAGTATAAATGCGCAAAAAATCTACTCAATTACAGTAATGCAAGTAAATGTAATTCGTTACTTCCCACATCTGGAGGTGAGAAATATGAGAAAAGGCAAGCGGTGCAAGGCGATAATGAGGATGCATCTGCTGTGGAAGGCAACCAAAACCTGACGCTCTCTGCTGGTGTCCAGGTTACTGGGCTCTAAAACAAACATGCTAATGTTGTTCAGTCTGTTCACATTAACAGGTCAGACCAGTCTGCACATCAGACACTCATGTTTCATCCAACACTTGAATTTATATGCAGATTTACTAAAAAATATTACTATTAATTCAATGCATACTCCACTTTTTGTTCCACCTATGTATAAATCAAAGCATTTTATTTTATTCTATTTCTCTGTGCAGCTTGATTTGTGCAACGATGAGTGGCACAATGATTCTTTATGAGATCAATCTAAATAATTAGAAAGTCTATCATAGTAAGATTATTCAGAGACCAAACTAGTTGGTCGATTTGGTTTCTAAAAAAATACTTATTGGACTCTTTAAGATCTTTTATTATGATACTGTGTTGTAATTCGTTACACAACTTTTCTATCAGGACACATTTTATTCTCAGAAATTACATTTTCCTTCTTTGTAATTAAAGGGACTATATGGAAGTTTGACAGCCAAAACATGTATAGAAATAATAAATGTCTTCTTCATACATTCTCCTGCAATGTCCTGGTCCTGTAGAATGAGCCCTGGCATTTTTACTGTGATTGCCTGTTTTTCTGTACAATCACAGAAAAAGAGAGATGCTCGGATCGAGCAGGCTGCTTCTTGCACGTTCACGCTCAGGCATAGCCCGTAGCATTTGCTATCCGTAGCTTTAGAAGCAGAGAGTGAGGTAGTGCCAACTCAGCGACTTTGTCGCTGTTCCTAACGCCTAGTGATGAACCTAGCTACATTTCTGAGTGAGGACCCTTAGCTACTTTCTGTAGAACTTTCTTCTAGATATTTCCTGCAAATTAGCAACAAAATAGCCATTTTTACTCCGCACCATTCTTTGAATTGACGTTTCAAGTGTCATCAAGGATATAAAAATTACAGATACAAAGAACATCACTGGTGCTTTAACGCACTTAGTAAGATGTCTGACTCTCATGTAGGAGGCCTGATACTTAAAACTTTATTGTTATTGTTTTTGAATGCTTTGTAATTCCGACCAGACACGGAGTCAGAGGTGAAAGAGAAAGGAAAAGACAAAAGGTGGGGAGAGAGGGGGGAAGGGGGGGGGGGGTCCACAAAAATAAACAATAATGAACAAGAGTCTGCTTCTAGACCTGCAGAAAGAGACAAGAAAAAAAGCAAAAAAAAAAAAAAAAAATATGGGACACAACAACAATACAACAAGATCAAGCTATCACTGCGTCAACTTGATGAAGAAATATATAATCAACATTGTTTAACTGAACAGTCACACGATAATAAATCACAGTGCATTAAGTGCCCACCATAGTCTTAAGACGTGTGTTGAACGTGCCCAAGCCCATACTTTTAAGAGCACCATGTGAGCACCTGTGTGTGTACACGCGCTTGTTTATGTAAGGTTTATCTACAGGAGCATCCAAGGGTTCTGTGCACTAACAGCCTGCCTGCAACCCACCGGCTCCAATCTGGAGCGGGAGTTTTGTTCACCTGGACCAGCAAAATGGACCAGAACCAACAAGACGCCCACGTAATTTATGTTTCAAGGTTAGTAGCTGCAGTTTATTTTATACAATTCTGTTGTAAGGCAAGGCAGCTTTATTTGTATAGCACCTTATGTTACAACCCGGCTCGTGGGACTGCAACAAAAGGAGGAGGTCTGGACACAAGGTTAATGTTTAAGAGTATATTTCTTTTATTAAAACCAAGCCTCTAAAAGGCCTCACCAAAAATGCCACACAGGCAAGAGCTCCCCTAGGTGCTCGCTCTGATCAGTCTCAACTCCTGCTCCCCCTGAGTCCTTCCAACCTGCACTTAGCAGCCCTTTTTGGCTGCACAGGTGCAGCCACTCATACAATCCCAGGCTGCACACAGTCACACCAATAATACAGCAGAAGGGCGTCGTCAGAAACATCTGAAGCAGCCAATCAGCTGGTTGCACTGCCACAGCAGCCCCCCAAGAAGGTGGGTTCTTCATTTTCTTCCAGTAGCAGGGGTTGTAACTCTTCCCCTCTCAAAAGAGTTCCTCCAGGAACTCACAATCTTCAGCTTCTGTCCAGTCATCATCCTCCAGTAGAACCTGCAAAAACAGAGGGGGAAAATAAAAGCCAGCCCACATACAAACACCCAACCCAAAATTCCAAAAGAAAAGTGATGGACCGGCCAAAATGAACAAAAGGGGAGACCACCTGGACCAGCCCACATTGGGCTGTAGGATCTGGTGACCTCCCTCTACCCTAAACCAACAGGAAAATTAACCCTAACAGAAATAAAGCCACGAAAACTAGACTACCGGACCCAACACAAAAAAAATTTAAAAGATAAACTGCCACAACACA